AGATTCATTACACCTGTTGTGACTTATGCCTTTCGTTATAGGATCGGAGGGTACGGAAAACAGGTATTCATAAAAAAAACTTTTAGAACATTTATTAGAATACGAATAAAACAGTTAATAAGACAAGACAAGACACGTAAAACTAATAAAACACATAAGACGTAATAAGTAAAATACCATGAAACAAGACAAATAAAATCGAATATAACACGAACTTTAAAATCTTAAAAAGCACCGGTCAATATGATCACTGGCTTTTACTAAAAATGACTTAGAAGTCTCCAAATACCCTACCGAAAAGATACTTCACAGCCACTTAGCTTTCTTTCAAGGAGGAGAGTGACCCATTCCCGGATTACTCTCGCCACGACCTCCTCCAGTGATAACAAGACCCCCTGACTGGTGCTTCTTACCCCCCCCCCCCCCCCCCCTTCGTTACCTTTTGGCAGGAGTAAGTTTAAGTGAGGGTGGCTCTCTTTCAAGAAAATGTGTTTAAAACTATATTAACGTTATAAAAAAGGATAAGATATCTATAAAAAATAAGCAATATATAGATAAAATGTATAAAAAATCATAGTTTTTTAAAACTCCCTTTATTGATTCATGGTTTAGTTAGGATAGAAAAAATATATAAATAGGTTTTAATACAATACAATAAAATAAAATACAATAAACAAAGCAGGCGCGTTTTTCTCAGCAAGCGCGTAGAGCATCCTCACCCTCGGGAGATGAAAACGCCTGTAGATGGAGTCAGAGGGAATGCAGGAGCAATTGAACACGCAATCCTGCGGGAGATTAATGTTAAATTGCGTGTTCAAGTGACTGAAGGGTTGTTCAAATGCACTATATGGGATATAGGGGGGTGATGATGAGGATGGTGAGGATGGTGGTGATGATAATGATGAGGATGGTGAGGATGGTGGTGGTGATGGTGAGGATGTGATGATGATGGTGGTGATGATGTGATGATGATAATGATGATAGTGGTGGTGATGGTGAGGATGTGATGATGGTGATGATGATAATGATGATGGTGGTGGTGATGATGGTGATGATGAGGATGAGGATAATGGTGATGATGTGCGTTTGTTCTCTGAGACTATTAACCACATTTTACCATTTTGTATATGTACAAGCACAAACATATACACACACCGAAATATATTTTGATTCTGATCATAGCATTTTTAAAATATAAATCTAGTCTTTCTTAACTCATAAAACAAATAAACAAAACAATAAAAATGTACTCGTCCGAATACCAGGAAGCCACACAGACGACTACGAGAAGGTCGACGGAATGGTGTACACGGGCGACGCGGACCTCGTAATCAAAAGCACGGATGCGGACAAGTGCGCCTACCACTGTTCGAACGTTACCTCCATCACTTGCAGGTGGGGATTTTTTATTTTCTATTTTATTTTATTTTTATATTTTCTATTGTTTTCATTTTATGTTCTTTTGTGTTTTGTTATTCTTAGTATTTGTTTTTTGTCATTCTGCGTTCTTTGTTAGTATAGTATTATTATTTTTTAAAAGTATTCTATTGATCTATTACAATTTTGTTTTTCGCTTTTGTGAATATTAATATTGTTTGGATGTTTTTTTATCTTTTTTTATATTATTGACAATTTTTTGCAATGTATCATAATTTGTACACACGTATATATGTATATATGTACTTATATATTCATATATATACATATGTATTTTCATAAATATACGTGTATTATATAAATAGTACATACACATATATATAACCATCAACTCGATTATCATGATTAAAAAATGCTTTATCATATTTTATTAACTGATGTATTTATTTGCCCTTTGCCCATTTATGTATTTATTTTTATATTAATTTTCTCATTTATATGTCTACCTACCTATCTGTTCACGTACTCTTTTAATGAATACTTTACTTACTTTTACGTACTGATCCATTAACGTTTTCTTAACTATCTACTTACCTGTCTGTCTATTCACTCGCATTTCCTTATTTTTAAGTACAAATCCATTGACGTTTTCTTATCTATCTATCTATTATATTGTTCGCTCATTCCTCGACATTTTCTTATTTATCTATTACCTATTTTATTACTTACTCCTTATTCTCGGACATTCTCTTATTTATCTATCTACCTTCCTCCCTATTTATTTTGATATTTATTATCGATCATCTATCAGTTCATTTACTTACTGCTTATCCTTTAACATTTTCTTATTTATCTATCTACCTCCCTCCCTATTTATTTTGATATTTACTCACTTATCTATTTATTCATTTACTTACTCCTTCATCATTTTCTTATTTATCTACCTTCCTTCCTCCCTGTTTACTTTAATATTTATTCTTTCTCTTATCTATCAATTAATTTACTTACTTCCTTCTCCTTTAGCATTTTCTTATTTATCTATCTACCTTTCTCCCTATTTACTTTAATATTCATTCTCTCTCTCTCTCACTTATTTATTCATTTACTTACTTTTCACGCAGATCCTTCGATTACTGTCAGAAGGAAAGGATGTGTTACTTGTACGAACAGCGAACCATCGATATGCCGTCTGATTTGCTCAATCATACGGTGCCCGACTGCTCACACTATAGCCGTATGTGTTTTGTTTATGCTGTTGTTATTGTGTTTGTGTGTTTATTGGTGGTAGAAGTTTAGGGGTGTGTTTTTTTTTGTTTTGTTTTGTTTTCAATTCAGATTGATTGTATTATAGGCGTATCTCTTTTGTTTTTGCTATTATTATTATTGTTTTTTTTTATTGGTGCAGAAGTTTAGTGCGATTATTACTACTAATTGTAATAATGATAATGATAATGATGTTCGAAAAGGTTACTTATAATAATGTTATAATCATAGCAAATAATAAAAATAGCACTACACAGATTAAATTTCTTAACCCATTCGCGCCGGGTAAAAATGAACAAAAAATGGGGGAAATGCTGTGCTCATTTTTTATATTTTTTATATTCTTATTCTTTTTTATATTCTTACTTATTCTTATATTTTTTTATATTCTTACTTATTCTTATATTTTTTTATATTCTTACTTATTCTTATATTTTTTTATATTCTTACTTATTCTTATATTTTTTTATATTCTTTTTTATATTCTTACTTATTCTTATATTTTTTTATATTCTTACTTATTCTTATATTTTTTTATATTCTTACTTATTCTTATATTTTTTTATATTCTTACTTATTCTTATATTTTTTTATATTCTTACTTATTCTTATATTTTTTTATATTCTTACTTATTCTTATATTTTTTTATATTCTTACTTATTCTTATATTTTTTTATATTCTTACTTATTCTTATATTTTTTTATATTCTTACTTATTCTTATATTTTTTTATATTCTTACTTATTCTTATATTTTTTTATATTCTTATTCTTTTTTATATTCTTTTTTATATTCTTACTTATTCTTATATTTTTTTATATTCTTATTCTTTTTTATATTCTTTTTTATATTCTTTTTTATATTCTTTTTTATATTCTTACTTATTCTTATATTTTTTTATATTCTTACTTATTCTTATATTTTTTTATATTCTTATTCTTTTTTATATTCTTACTTATTCTTATATTTTTTTATATTCTTATTCTTTTTTATATTCTTATTCTTTTTTATATTCTTATTCTTTTTTATATTCTTATTCTTTTTTATATTCTTTTTTATATTCTTATTCTTTTTTATATTCTTTTTTATATTCTTATTCTTTTTTATATTCTTTTTTATATTCTTACTTATTCTTATATTTTTTTATATTCTTATTCTTTTTTATATTCTTACTTATTCTTATATTTTTTTATATTCTTTTTTATATTCTTATTCTTTTTTATATTCTTTTTTATATTCTTACTTATTCTTATATTTTTTTATATTCTTATTCTTTTTTATATTCTTTTTTATATTCTTATTCTTTTTTATATTCTTTTTTATATTCTTTTTATATTTTTTTATATTCTTACTTATTCTTATATTTTTTTATATTCTTACTTATTCTTATATTTTTTTATATTCTTACCTTTTTTCCCTCTAATTCTTACCTTAAATACTCTTATCACCTACACCCTTTCAATCCTATTTATCCCCACATCCTTTCATCCCTTTTCTTCCCTCCCCCAATTCCTCTTCTTTTTTCTTCCCCTTCTATCCTTCCTATCATTTTCTTATCTCAATATTTTTTCTTCCCCATCTATTCTTCCCACCATCCTCTTATTTCCATCTACTTATCCACGTCTTTCTCCTTCTTCTTCCTTCTTCCTCCTTCTCCCAGGTTTGCGAAGACGAGCCAGACTACGGTTGCAACGGCTTCGACTACTGCGAGGAACCCGATGACATCACCTGCTTCTTGACGTCAGATCACTACACGGACGAAGGCGTCGAGATCGGGAATTCCCCGACTTGCTCTCACTATTCACGTGAGTTTATGAATATGTGTGGGTGTAGGTAGATAGATTGGTAGGTAGGTAGGTAGGTAGGGGGGTAGGTAGGTAGGTAGGTAGATTGGTAGGTAGGTAGGTAGATAGGTAGGTGGGTAGGTAGATAGATAGATGGGTAGATGGATAGGTAGATAGACAGACAGACAGGTAGATAGATAGAGATAGATGGATAGACAGATAGACAGATAGATAGACAGACAGACAGATAGATAGATTGATTTATAGATATATACTGCCTAGTTGAGATAAAAATGAAATGAAGAAAACTATAGGGATGGAAGAAAAGAAAAGATAATTAATGCACCAAATAACAAACAAACAAACAAACAGAAAAAAAACGTGAATGGATGTACAAACGGTGAGATTTCTCGTACATACATCTATTTATCTATTTGATTATTCATCTATTTTATCTAATATTTTTTTCAGGCGAGTATTACGACGGGAAGGACATGAACGCTTATGCTCACAGCAGGAGTAGCAAGTATATTTACGGCCCGGGTAAATATTTTAATTTTTTTTTCTATCTAGTT